AACCCTAAAACTTGAACCTACTTTGACAAAAGCCTAGCAGCCCTTAACTCCTAAACACCCGAAACGCTCAACAACCTAAACCTCAAACACCCTAAGCCTGAACCCGTCTCATCCAACCTGAAGCCCGAGAACCCTGCACGCGAAAACCCGGAAGCCCTAAAACCCCATAGCCCAAAAACCCTACAACCAAGAAACCCTAAGACCCTAGAACCCCAAAACCTCAAACCCTAACACCCAAAGACTTACCCTAAGACCCTAACACCCTAACACCCGAACACCCGAACACCCTCACACCCTCACACCCTCACACCCTCACACCCTCACACCCTCACACCCTCACACCCTCACACCCTCACACCCTCACACCCTCACACCCTCACACCCACACCCTCACACCCTCACACCCTCATCACACCCTCACACCCTCACACCCTCACACCCTCACACCCTCACACCCTCACACCCTCACACCCTCACACCCTCACACCCTCACACCCTCACACCCTCACACCCTCACACCCTCACACCCTCACACCCTCACACCCTCACACCCTCACACCCTCACACCCTCAACCCTAAACCCTAAACCCTAAACAGGTGGCACTGCATGGCTTCGCTGATCCTCGAGCACTTTCCCCCGGCAGCTCTGCTGGGAAGAGATGACCCGGGTTTAGGGTTTAGGGTTTAGGGTTAGGGGTTTAGGTTTTAGGGTTTAGGGTTTAGGGTTTTGGGTTTAGGGCTAGGGATTTAGGGTTAGGGTTCAGGGTTTAGGGTTTAGGGCTTAGAGTTTAGGCCTTAACCCTTCATCTTCGGAACCTAGACCCGAAAACCCTTGCAGCCCTCCGTGCCCTAAGCCTCGGCTGACCTCGAAAGCCGGGTATGGACATACTTTCTTGTGTAGAGGTTAGGGTTCAGGGTTTAGGTTTTAGGGTTTAGGGTTTAGGGTTTAGGGTTGAGGGTTTAGGGTTGAGGGTTTAGGGTAAGAATGTTGGTAATCAAGGGTTTAGGGGAAGAATGTTGGCTCTTTTGGGGATTTACAAAATCAGGGACCCTAATGTCGACCCCCAAGTAGTAGGATCCCCTTAGAATAAGGACCCCAGTATGGCACCCAAGTATCGCAAACCCCCGTTTAAGGTTCCTGCAGTACCTTGCAACTGCGGTCAGTACTTCGTACAGGGCTGTCGCCGGTACGGGGCTGGGTGCTTGGCGTGTGCTACATTTATCCCGGGCGACGTCTGGGAGGAACCCTAAACTCTAAACCCTAAACCCCAAACCCTAAGCCCTGGACCCTAAACCCTGAACCCTGAACCTTAAAGCTCAAGACCCTGCAGTCAGCCCAGGCCCCTAAAAAAGCCCTCAAGCATGAATGGCACATTTTGGGCTGTTGTCCCTTGCCCCCCCCCCCCCCCCAACACCCAAAGCTTAAACCCAACCCCAAAGCCCGTTCAGGGTTTAGGGTTTCGAGAGCTCTAAGCCCCAACACCCTAACCCCAAAACCCTCGAAACCCAAGGCCCAAAGACCCAAGCCCTGAACCCTGAACCCTAAACCAGAAGCCCGAAACCCTAAACCCTATAATCCTAAACCCTAAGCCCTAAACCCTATAATCCTAAACCCTAAACCCTAAGCCCTAAACCCTAACCCCTATAACCCTAAACCCCAAAGCCCTAAACCCCCAAAGAGCCCCCGAAGCCCTCAGCGCCAGTCCAAGCCGCGCCGCCCGCGCGACGAGCCCGCGGAGGCAATGGGCTTCGGGGTTTAGGGTTTAGGGTTTAGGATTTCGGGTTTAGGGTTTCGGGTTATAGGTTATAGGGTTTCGGAAAAATTTTGTTTCGGGTTTTCCGGGTTTTGGGGTTCAGGGTTTTGTGTTTGGGGGTTAGGGTTTTGGGTTTTTGGGGCTTTTGGGCTTTTGGCTTTTGGGGGTTTAGGGTTTGGAGTTTGGGGTTTGGGGCTTCATTCGGGTCTGCAAGGGTTTTGAGGGCTGTGATGGAAATAGGGTGTAAGGCCTAGCGTTTGGGAATTAGAGTTTTTGGGTGGGCTTAGGGCTTAAGGTTTCCAGCACAGGCGTCTGTTAAGAGGGTTCAGGCTGGAGGGGTTAGAGCTTAGAGTGGAGGGCCTTCGCGGGTTTTCATAGGGCCTTTGGGCTCTTAAAGTGTCTGAACCATAAACCCCTGCACCCAACACCCTAAACCTTTTATTGACTCAGTCCGAGGACCAGTGACCCCCAAACCTAGTGTTTAGGGTTTAGGGCCCAGGGTCGAGCATTTAGGGTTTAGGGTTTAGGGTTTAGGGTTTAGGGTTTAGGGTTTAGGGCTTAGGGTTTGGGGCTGCTACTGAAGCATCAAGCAAAACCATAAACAAAAGTCCCAGACCCCAAGCCCTAAACCCTAAGCACCTACAATCGCGAACCCACACCCCAAAAGAGCTTTGAGGAGGGCTTTTGGGCGCTCCGCCCCTGTCATTCCCGGAGCGTCTAGGGGGTTTAGGGTTTGATTAGGGTTTAGGGTTTAGGGTTTCGGGTTTAGGGTTTAGGGTCTCGGAGCCCAGGTTTAGGGTTTAATTAGGGTTTAAGGTTTAGGGTTTAAGGTTTAGGGTCTCGGAGCCCTGGTTTGGGGTCTCGGAGCCCTGAACCCTCAAACATCCGTCAGTCTCAAGGCGCGCTGCTGCAGCTTCCCCCGCCACAGCCTCGACGCGCCCCGCTGCCCTCCGCAGGCAGCCTCGGCTGTTTACGGTTTAGGGTTTGGGGTTCAGGGTTTAGGGTTTAGGGTTTAGGGTTGGGGTTGAGGGTTTAGGGTGCGGGGTTTAGGGTTGAGGGCTTCGGGTTTTGGGCTGCCGGCGTTTATAGAGTTTAGGGTCTAATATCTGGGGTGTGGGGTTGTTGTCCTTTTGGGGTTCGTTGTTTAATCCAAAAGGCTCTAGGCGTCATTGTCCTTTTTTTAACATATAGGTTTAGGGTTTTCCGGTTTCGAGAGGACTAGGGTCGCCGAACCCCAAGGTCTAAACCCTAATCCCCTAAGCCCCGAAACTACAGTTCAAACAGAGCTCTAGAAATGCCGTACACACCCTAGTTACCCCCGTCCCCACCCAGGGAAGCCCGAAAGGCCCTGAACCCTAACCCTACGCCCCAAACCCTACACCCTAGACCGTAGACCCTAACTCCTTCCCCCCGAAACCCTAAACCCGTAAATTGGAAAACCCTAAAGCCCGGGCTTCCTGCTTCCCATCGGGAGAGCAGGGGTTTAGTGGTTCAGGCTTGGGGGTTTAGGGTTTAGGCTTGAGGGTTTAGGGTTTACGGTTTAGGATTTCGCGTTTAGGGTTTAGGGTTTAGGGGAGGCGTAGGGTTTACAGGTTTGGGGTAGTGGTTTAGCTTCTGTCCTTCGATCGTGGGGTTCAGGATTTGGTTTTTTGCTTGGCCGTACCCTAAACACTCTACCCTAAACCCGAAACCCTAAACTCAACCCTGAGCCCTCTAAACCCTAAACCCTAAACCCTAAACCCTAAACCCTAAACCCTAAATCTTCCTTAGCTTCAGTCCGCTTGCGAGGGCCTTGCAATCTTGTCAGGGGTCTTTGAGCGAAGCGGCCCAGGGTTGCCATAACCCAAGCCCCGAACCCGAAAACAAGCAGTCAAATCATACCTATCCCGGAGATTCAGAAGCCCTAAAAACCCTAATCCCTAAAACCCGAAAGCTCTAAACCCTAGCCCTAAACCCTAAACCCTAAACCCTAAACCCTAAACCCTAAACCCTAAACCCTAAACCCTATAAAGCCTGGAGAGAGAGACACATCAGGGCCGCATGGTACCAAAGCCCCGATCGAGTGCGTCTCTCTGCTCAAGCTTAGGGTTCGGGCTTCAGGGTTTCGGAGTTTAGGGTTTAGGGTTCAGGGTTTAGGGTAATTGCCTTCAGGGTTTAAGGTTTTGGGGTTTAGTTTCAGCGTTTAGGGTTCCGGATTTACAGGGTTAAGGAATTCGGCTTTAGAGGTTTAGGTTCAGGGTTTCAGGGTTTAGGGTTTAGGGCTTCAGACGGTGAGGCTAGGAAACCTGCGCCCTAAACCCAATTTTAGGGTTGCCGGTTTAGGGCTCGGGGTTAAAGGGCCTAAACCCTAAACCCTAAACCCTAAACCCTAAACCCTAAACCCTAAACCCTAAACCCTAAACCCTAAACCCTAAACCCTAAACCCTATTGAGGGCTTCCGAATCTTCTTTGGGGGGCTGGTCCCCGAGGCCAACGAGCGTGCGCGACGGCGCGCCGAGCACGTCGGCCCGGCAAGAGGCCTACTCCAGGACGCGGATATGATCAGGGTTTAGGGTTTAGGGTTTAGGGTAAGTTTAGAGTTTAGGGTTTGGGGTTTAGGGTTTAAGCCCTAACTCGTTGGGGACTCTAGGGTTTTCGGGTGCAGGGTTTAGGGTTTTCGGATTTTGGGTTTGAGGGTTTTAGGGCTGTAGTGTCTGAGGGTTTGGCATGAAATGGGTGTTTGTGAATGACTGTGGGCAGTTATTGCTTGGAGGCTAGTGCACGCACGAAAAAGTGTTGGAGCTGAGCCGAAACAGTCTTCCTTGTACATGCATTTGAACGGTGGAGTTGTAGTTGTTCGTGGCTTGCAGTGAGTAAAGCGAAAACGATGTGAGATGGAGAGCGAGCCAAACAAAACCAACCAGGAACACACGTAATCATTCACCTTCGTAGAATTTTTTCAGGAGTTTCATAAACATAGCTTGGCATGTTGAGCAAAATATACAGTGCGTCCCTTGGCTCCTCACGTGATCACGAATTTCGGGATCCTTTGCAAAAGCAGGTCTGGAACCTGGAATGAACGGAACTCATGCGCTTGACGTTTCCTCGCTTGTGTAGGGAGAGAGTTTCCGAAGCACAGCCAATGAAACTCCGACTCGAATGCTGTAGGTAGAGGCTCTTGGTGCTGCGCTTCGTGTGCAAAACCCTCAACCCAAACCCCGAAACCCCGAAGTCTAAACGTGGCCCAACCTGATGACCCTCGGCCAGGACAGTGCACGGGGGCCACAGCGAACAGTCCTCGGGAGGCGCCGGTGTGTAAGTTTCAGGGTTTAGGGGATTCTTTGTCATGGTTGGGTAACATTTTACATCTTTAAGGGTACTTAAACCCAATAAGGAATACAAATTTAAATTGTTAATATTATCCAAACAATGAACAAGGATTAGGGTTCAGGGTTTAGGGTTGAGGGTTTGGGGTTTAGGGGTGTCTTTGAGGCTTGAAGCCGCTGAATCCTCACCAATTTAGCAGCTAGACCTTTTTTTTTGTGTTACCCTTAGAGACCCTGAGAGGCCCTAAACCCTAAACCTTGAACCCTGAACCCTGCCCCCAATTGGAGCAGCGGAGCAAGCAAATCAGCCAAGAACATGAGGTGCGCATCTGCATGTGCGGTTTGGGGTTTGGGGTTTCGGGTTTCGGGTTTAGGGTTTGGGGTTCAGGGTTTCGGGTAAAGGGTTTAGGGGCTGCAGGTGCGTACGCGCTCTGCGTGTGCGTGTGTAGGGCGAGATGGCGAAGGAGGAATGTGGGCAAGCAGCAGTCGGATGGCCACTACGAGTCTACTTGGGGTTTAGGGTTTAGGGTTTAGGGTTTAGGTCTGAGTTCGGAATCGGAAAAAGGTGGGGAAACCCTAAACCCTAAACCCTAAACCCTAAACCCTAAAACCCGAAAAACACTAAACCCTAAACCCTAAGCCCTAAGCCCTAAACCCTAAACCCTAAACCCTAAACCCTAAACCCTAAACCCTAAACCCTAAACCCTAAACCCTAAACCCTAAACCCTATTCAGAACCACTAGGATCATAAATCTTGGAACCCGCTGAGGAGCCCTGCTTGAGGTCCTCGAATGTTTCTATTTGGCGGCCAGCTGCCTCTGGAATCAAGATGTTCTGAAATGAATTCTGTTAAAGTCATCTTGCTACGAAACCCGAACCCTAAACCCTAAACCCTAAACCCTAAACCCTAAACCCTAAACCCTAAACCCTAAACCCTAAAAACCCTAAACCCTAAACCCTAAACCCTAAACCCTAAACCCTAAACCCTAAACCCTAAACCCTAAACCCTAAACCCTAAACCCTAAACCCTAAACCCTAAACCCTAAACCCTAAACCCAAGAAGAGAAGCGCTGAGATTTCTGGTTCCGGGCCATGATGGATGGTTGGCACTCAAAGCCCCAAGGTTTAGAGTTTAGGGTTAACTGAGCCCGCGGCATAGCCTCGAACTGCCCAGACTCCCTAAACCCCAAACCCCAAACCCCAAACCCCAAACCCCAAACCCTAAACCCTAAACCCTAAACCCTAAACCCCAGACCGCAAACCCCAGACTCCAAACCCCAGACCGGCACTCATTTTTGGCCCTGGGGAGGTAGCGGCTATCGGAGCAGCGTTGGGAACTAGCCCTCAACCCCTAAAAACGCCGAAAGAAGACACAAAGCCCCGCTACCCCCACTAGCCCTACCAGCCCGACTAGCCCTACCCCAAACCCTAAACCCTAAACCCCATACCCCAAACCCTAAACCCTAAACCCTACACCCTAAACCCCAAACCCTAAACCCTAAACCCTAAACCCGAAACCCTGAATCCCTAAACCCTGAAGGGCCCTTAAGCAACCAACAACCCCACAGTATCCAGGTGCGCAGCCCTGGGGCTCTTGGCCACAGGGGCCGGCGCAGCAGTATTGGCAAGGCACCAGGGGGTTTAGGGTTTAGGGTTTAGGGTTAGGGTTTAGGGTTTAGGGTTGAGGGTTGAGGGTTGAGGGTTGAGGGTTGAGGGTTGAGGGTTGAGGGTTTAAGTTTAGGGTTTAGGGTTTAGGGTTTAGGGTTTAGGGTTTAAGGCACCATAAATTCTCTAAACCCTGGACCCCAAAGCCCCCCAAACCCTAAACCTTGGGATGTTGCCCCTTATACGAAAGCAGTCCTCAAACGTGATTACGGTACTCCCTATTATGTTCCCTATGAGGGACTGTCAGCATAAGGGGGAACATCCCAACCTAAACCCTAAACCCTAAACCCTAAACCCTATACCCTATAAACCCTAAGCCCGGTTGGACTTCATATCTAGTTTCCCAGGGTCTTTTGTGACTTTGCGCCGCTTTTGCAGACCTAAACCGCATAAACCCCATGAACCCAGTACCCTATAAACCCTAGGGTTTAGGCTTTAGGGTTTGGGGTTTAGGGTTTAGGGTTTAGGGTTTACTGTAAACCACCAATCCCGAGATCGGAGCCCTAAAGCCTAGACCCTGGGGTTTCGGGTTTAGCAATTAGGGTTTGTTCACCCCCCACCCCCAAAACCCTAAGCCCTTAACCCAAAACCCCAAACCCTAAGCCCTAAACCCTAAACCCTAAACCCTAAACCCTAAACCCTAAACCCTGTACATTCAAAAACCCTAGAGCCCTGAAGACCGTCGAGCCCCTCGGCCTTGCCTTCAGAGCCTCAAGGGTTTAGGGTTTAGGGTTTAATTTAGGGTTTAGGGTTTGGGTTTAGGGTTTAGGGTTTGGGTTTAGGGTTTAGGGTTTAGGGTTTAGGGTTTAGGGTTTAGGGTTTAGAGTTTAGGGTTTAGGGTTTAGGGTTTAGGGTTTAGGGTTTAGGGTTTAGGGTTTAGGGTTTAGGGTTTAGGGTCTTGCTCTCTCTTTGTTTTGCAGCGTACTTGAGAAGCTGGTTGCCATGTCAAAGTGGCTGCAACAAATGCAGCGAGTGGAGCGGGTGGCCTGCTCAGACGATGTCCCGGTTCTACAACGGTCCTCACCCCCACTCTCCCTTGGGAAGTCTGAGTGCTCGCTCAGAGTGCCAGGTCGCTCAGGTCAAGGGCAGAGGCACAGGCTCGGGAAGCGAAGACGGCGGCTGAGGAGGCGAATAGGGACCTCCGCAATGCTCAAATTCAATAAGAAGTCTTTTTTGCAGGTTTGTTGCACATTTTTTGCGTGTTGGTTTTGCATGTGGATGTTGGGATTTGTTTTGGCTTGCGCCTGTGTATTGTGTGGTAAACACTAAACCCTAAACCCTTGCCCCCTAAACCCTAAACCTAAACCCTATACCCTAAAGGCCCTAAACCCTAAACCATATACCCTGGACTGTGGTCTACGTAACGCGGGTAGCAGCCCCATCATTCTTTAAAATTCCCTGATGGCTTTCGGGGCTCCCTAAGCATCCGTCAGCTTCCTTTAGGGTTTAGGGTTTAGGGTTTGGGGTTTGGGGTTTAGGGTTTAGGGTTTAGGGTTTATTTCAGAAGGTTTGGTGGGGTCTAGGGCGTTTAGGGCTTGGGGCTTGATGTTTGGGGCTTCGATCCTCATCGAGCCCAGAGCCCTGCAAGTCAGCCACGATCAGCTGTACACTTCGGGTTTAGGGTTCCGGGTTTAACCCCAAACCTTTACCGTAAGATAGGATCTGAAAGCCGTAGCCGTACTAGGTCTTAAGAATCATTAGTTCGATGTACCCTATTTACCCTAATCCCCCTAGAGAATCCTTTAAGGGTGTACATGGCTTAATTCCCTAGTTGACCGATTAGAACCCAGCAAGTCATTGCTGAGACCCTAAACGCCATAAACCCCAAAGGCTTTGAACCTCTTTCTTGCCAGGTGGCGATTGGTGGAGCAGCGGAGCACAAGGGGGACATCTTGGGTTTTGCTGTTGGGAGGGTAGGGTACAGGACTTTTGGGGGTTACGGTCTAGGGGTTTAGGAGTTTTGGGGTTTAGGGCTTTGGGGTCTAGGTGTTTAGGACGGAAGAGGTGAGTCAGGTCCCGAAAGCACTGAGCCCTGCGAGCCCAAGGCCCTAAATCTTGTAGGCTCCGCTTCGTTTAGGTTCTATGGGGGTTTGGGGTTGCGGGCTTTAATAGGATTTGGGTTCAGGGTTTGGGGTTTGTGGTGTGGGGGAGTCCTCACGTCGAGCTGGCCGATGGGAGTGAGAGCCGCGCTCGCCACGGCCCGGCCGCGGCGCAGAAGGCACACGCCTTCGGGGCCCTCTCCCGGCAATTCCCCAACAGCTTCGTCCTCGTGCTCTACGCGGGCCACGGCGTGGAGGCGCTGCGGACGGGCGAGGACCGCGGTCGGGGTGATCATTGCGGTGCTGAGGCCGTGCTGCGGTTGCCGGCGTTGCTGCGACCCGCAGCAGGCTTGCCGGAGCGGGCCGCCGAAGGAGGAGAGTATTACCCCCGCCACAGCAAGGGGTCGCTCAGGACCACCGGCCGCCGCGCGCCCGTCAGAGCACTTCTGAGAGCTCCGCTGACCTGGACGGCGGTGGTGCCATGGACCACGGCCCTGGTCCCTGCCTCCGGCCCCGACAGGGACGGCTGCGTCGGCCAGGTGCTCGATGTCTACGCGCTGGTGTCGATGCTCGCAAAGGAGGATGGCTACGTCCTCTTCTTGGGAGAAGAGCGGGCCGACTTGAGCGGCTGCTGCGCGGCACACCACCTGCACCGCCGGTGACCGCCTCCGTCGGCTTCTTGGGAGAAGAGTGGGCCGACCGGCGGCCGGCCGAGAGAGCGGCTGGACATCTTGCTTGACTTGCTTGCATTGCAAAAAATAGCAGCGAATTGCAAGCGAATCATCGCATCATCGCGTTTTGCAACTGAGCATCGAAATCTTTCGTGCCGCCACAGCCCATTTTTGTAGTGCTCAAATCTCGATTAATCGATCCTCCAGTCATGCTCTCTCCCATATCGGAACCGGCATGGACAGAGCAGTAGTCCTGATAAAACAAGCCCGATCAACTCGACAAAAAGCGGTAGTGACACTTCCCAAACGCAAGGGCAAGGCCGAAGTCTGGGTAGTGCCGGACGTGTACAACAAGTCCGGTGAGAAGGTGACCGATGGACATGCTCAAGTGGGGCATGCACTTGCCGAGGACTGCTCAGTAACGAAGTAGTTCATATTTCTCAAGTGTGAAGAACTCAGAGTGACAGATACCGCCGCAATTCGACCCACGATCAGGATCTAGGCATGCTTTTTCAGGCGCGAGACAGCGCAGACGGGCGGATCCTGTACCGTCCGTATAGCAATTTCGCTGCTTACTCCGCGAAACTCTTTTCAGCAAAGTGGTCTTCGGCAAGGGCCTTCTGAGCGTGAACGAAGATGAAGCCGACAAGTACAGGCTCCGCAACGCTTGTACTTTTTCCTTCCTTTTCTGTCAGATAACTTTGCAGAAGCCGAAGCAGTGACGAAAAGGCTGCGGCTCCGGGACTCGTGCAACAAGTTGTCCTGGCGTGAAACTTCAACTTTGGGCTGCCAGCCCGCCAACAGCGCGCATTACGGATTGGATTTGGTGCAGGCCTGGCCCATTTCCAGCGCGCGCGCAGATTCAAGATTGCGACTGCGAAGGAAACCTACGATATGTCTTCACCACGGCTGACGCCCCAGCTGCTCGCAGCCCTGCAGATGCGGGCCTGCCTTTGCGAAGATGTGGAGGCCGCCGTTCACAGGTTACTTCCTCTTAGAATCGTCACACGTCTGCTGACTGGCCAGGTTCGCTTCGAAAAGAAGAAGCAGCTCAAGCAGATGGTGTCAGACTGCAAGAGAGCCCAGAAGGTTCGGTGGCCCGTCACGTAGTGCATCCATAACTTAAGACTTAAGAGTGCACGTGGCAGCTTTTTGGTCGAGAAACTGCCCAGCACAAGGAGGAAATTCTGTCGGATGCTTTTGGTTTGCCGAAGACGCGAACGAATCCAAAACCACCGCCGTCCAACTGCCAGGCGGTGTGCGCGCGCGTCGCAACTGTTAACTCTGCAGCCGTAAAGGCTGCAAGCACTCTTGGCAGGCCGTGGTGCCCCCGGAGGACGCTGCTCCTGCGCGGCGGGTCGATCCTTGGGGATCCAGACGCGTGCCGCAACACAGAATCAAATTGGAATTCGAGGACTTCAGCGTTTCTTGGGCCGCTGCTGTCCGTGCTGAATTTGTCATAGCGCTCTCCCTGCCTCACTACAGGATCACATCTCCGATCCGACGCCACTTGAAGATCTTCTACAAACGCAGACAGAGCCAAGACCATGGCAGCTGCATAAAGGTGACTTGGCCAGCAACGATGCAGCTTGTCACACAAATAAGCAAGAATTGCGCTGACCGTTGCACGTGAAAGCGTTTTCAGTCTCTGGATCCGTACGCAGGCACCAAAGACGCACTCCTTCGCGGACGCCGCCGCTACAATGGCGCAATAACAGCGCACAACAACAAGCCGCAACTGTCCTTGCCTGGCCCAGCGGCTACGGGGTTTGCCCTGAGCGATTTGTGGAACACGCTCAAGGTGAGAAAGGGCAGGGGAGGGGGTAGGGCGTTGCAAACAATACTTTGTCTTGCACACCTGGATGAGCGCCGCTAGACGTCAAAGTGCTCCAGAGGAGAAGGAATGCCACATCATCATCAATGGCGAAGTGTGGACCGGAAGATTCGCTGTGTGGCGATACCCCGTGATGATGGCATCCGATATAGAAATCTGGACTGCGAAGCTGCGCGTGAATTGTTGCACAAGTGTGCGCCTAACTCCTTCAGTGTTCTTGTTCATACAGTTCTCACTTACACGCATCGGGTCAGCTGGGGATTGTCTCTGTGTGTACGTGTGTCGGTGCGCACGCGCACGTCGCAAGGAAACCACTGCCAGACGCCGCGAGATACATCCCAGACAACTGCATCGTCTGCAGCCGGGAGTGCGGAGGCCACTGACTGGTATATCTTGAATGAAAGCACGACGAAAGCGGGTCATCCAATGCGCCTGCAAGGTGTCGTGAAACTGGGCGGCGGGGACTACGACGGCGACCTTCTGGCTGTTTCTGGGTGGAAAGACTTGATCGATTTCTTGAGCAGCACACCTGCTGAGACGGATATGCCAGAGCTGAAGACCTTTGCTTGCATACTCGTTTGTGCTCGCCACTCATCAGCTGAGCCTCAGCCATGTTTCTGCACGCTTGCTTCTTGCTGTCTGAGGAAGGCAAGGCAAGACGTCCTCGACTCCGTAGCCAAGAGGGAAGCAACGCGCCTATTGTCACTATCGGCACTTCTGTTGCACAATAGAAACACAGTCTACACGGGGCCGAGCCTGCGCAATGGCTGAGAGGGCGCAATATGCCGCGTACCGATCCCTGGACCCAGCCGGGGATGGCTCGCTTTTGTTAGCTGCGAAGCTTGCCCAAGTCGCGCACATGGCGTATGATGTGCCGAAAAAATATGACGCGACCACTATTTTATCTATGGGCGCAGAACTTTTGTCTAATGCCGGCCTTTCATGCAGCAGCGACCGATCTACGTCCCAAATTGCAGAGACGATGCAACTAGAATTTGACAACCCCATTGCTCTACTGCCGTCCCCAGCAAATTTTCCTGGGCGGCAAGCCGTGGCTGGCATGGTGTGGGTGCCCTGGAAAAAGACCAAACTCTCGGCAATGGCAGGAGGTGCGCTTCGAAGACGCCTCTTGAAAAACATGTTTTTCGATGGCCTTGCGAGTGACGCAGAGCGTGTGCCCCTAGATGCCGTGGGAGGGGTTCTTGCGCATCGGCTGGTGAGCGAGGTCGGCCCGCTGCTGAAGCACGTCAAGGCACAGGACCCCGATCCTCTCATCCCATGCCGCATCCTGCTCAGAGCGTCGCGGTAGGGCCATTGAGAGCTGGAAGTATCTGTTGGACTGCCAGCTTTCGTACTAGTTCTGCAGCACATCCGAGAATGCTGTGATCCTCGTAAAGAAGATGCATTGGCGTGCATTGCCCGCGCTGATTCGGACTTTGTCTTGTAGCCCAAGCACTCCATGTGGCTTGCAACTTTCGATGGCTCAGAGAATCCTCCTCTGATTAGAGAGGAAGGCAGCATGACTGACTTGGCTGTAAAATGCAGCGACAGCGAAGTGACAGCGCAGTGACAGCCACTACTTCTCTTGTTTCAGCAAGGCTGCGCATTGCTTCTCAAAGTGTCGATGTATGCATGGATGCAGCCTTTTTTGAGTTCAAAACCTATTTCTGATTAGATAGTCAGATAGTAGATAGACATGGACCTTTTGGTGAAAGCTCACCTGCTGTCAGTTTGTGAGCCAAAAGATGAAGACGAGAACACAGAGATGGACTACAGCATCCGTCATTACCTCTGGTGTCACGGAAGTAGGCAGCATGCTTTGTCCGTGTGCCTGAGGACCAATCAGGTGCGTCTGTTGAGCCATTAGCGGCTGGGGGGGGGGTTCGGGGCTTGACTGCAAAGACGCGGGATCCTCGTCCTGAAGCTCAGCAGACCCTCTGCCCGAACCAGAGGCCATAAACCTTACACCCTAAACCCTAAACCCTAAACCCTACACCCAGAATCCTAAACCCTAAACCCTAAACCCTAAACCCTAAACCCTAAGCCCTAAGCCCTAAACCCTAAGCCCTAAGCCCTAAGCCCTAAACCCTAAACCCTAAACCCTACACCACCAAGCGCCCAGCAACTAGAGGAGGGGCCCACGCCAGCGGCCACTCTTACGGCTATTGGGGCGGCGGTGGCGACGGTGGTTGGGCAGGATGCTGCGCTTCGAGCTCTAAGGGTTTAGGGTTTAGGGTTTAGGGTTTAGGGTTTAGGGTTTAGGGTTTAGGGTTTAGGGTTTAGGGTGTGAAAGGGTTTGGGGTTTGTGCTTGGGATGTTCCCCCCCCCCTTTTTCTCACAATCCTTAATTGGGATTTGTAGTACCCCTGATTATACTCCCAATTAGGGACTGTTGGAAAAAAAGGGCAACATCCCAAGATTGCACCATCTAGGGGCAGGACCCTATTCACCGAAACCCGAGACCGTAACCCTTAAACCCTAAACCCTAAACCCTTAGACGTGCATCACATGACAGGATGTAGGAGCCCTTAGAGTCCTAGGGTTTAAGGATTTTTTTTTGAGGGGGGGGGGTTCAGGTTTTAAGGGTAGTTTTGTGGGCCCTTAATATGGTCCCTAACCTCCCTTTTAGGGTTTCGGGTTTGGGGTTTGGGGTTTAGGGTTCAGGGGTAGTTTCATGGAGGGTTCAGATGTATGGGTTCTTAATTTGTATAGGGTATATAGGGGGTTTACAAGAGGCCCCCTTTTAAGGGCCCATATTAAGGGACATGCAACTACCCATAGATTCAGGTGGTGGTGGTGAAGACGAAGAGGGGGTTCCTTCTGGCGGTTGGGGCTTCGGATGTGTTGCTAGGCTTGCTTCGTGCAACAGGGGGTTTCCCAACATAGGGGAACCCTAAACCCTAAACCCTGTACCTTTCGGGGTGGGTGGGTGTGGGTGGTTCTTATGATAAGGAGGTCAGACATTTTTGGGTTGGCTATGTTGGGAAAGAACCCACCTTGGGATTTAGGTTTCAGGGCTTCGGGTTTAGGGCTTAGGGCGACGCAGAAGTATTTGTGCTCGGTCTTCTGAATTGGCACTATGCTCTATCACATCACCAGTGAACAGCATGAGGAAGAAGCGTAAGCCAAATACCTTGCAGACCCTAAAGCCCTAAACCCAAAAACCCTTAAATCCCAAAACGCCGTGAATCCCAACAGCCCTAACGACATAAGCCCTGAATTCTAAGCCCCGAACGATCCGAGCTCCCAAGAACGCAGAACCTGTGCTTCAGGAATGCCCTCAATTCCAAGTGCCTTATAATATAAGGACACATCATTCTGTACCTCAAAGGCCCTTCGCAACAGATTCAAAGCCTAAACCCTAAACCCCTAAACCCTACACCCCTAACCCCTAAACCCTAAACCCTAAACCCTAAACCCTAAACCTAAACCCGAAACCCTAAACCCCCCTTTTGCAGGACCCTCCTGGCATGGCCACTGGGATGCGAACTCCTGGGGCACCTCTGCGAGCCCCTCCTCGCGGGAATATTCGGGGGGCGTTAGGGTTTAGGGTTTAGGGTTAAATGTTGTATCCTGAGTTTGCACATTTGGGGTTCGCCCCGACAAGTCACTTTGGTGGAGGGATCAATACCCGTGCGGCTCAGGGGCCTTTCGAGGAGACAGCTTTGGATGATGTGGGGGTTTAGGAATTCAGGGTTTTGGGGATTTAGGGTTTAGGGTTAGGGGTTGGGGTTAGGGTTTAGGGTTCAGGGTTTACGGTTTAGGGCCCTGCTCCCCGCCCCCCCCCGCTCCCCCCCTCAGGGTTTACGGTTTAGGGCCCTGCTCCCCGCCCCCCCCCGCTCCCCCCCTCCCCCGCCCCCCCCGCCCCCCCCCGCCCCCCCCCTCCCCGGCCCCCCCCACACCGAACTCTTCTTCCGTTTTGGGGTGTGGGAGTCCGTATTCCCCTGCAGCCCTATGATACTTTCCAGTTGAATGTTTAGGGTTTAGGGCTAGCCGAAACCGAAACGATGGGAGTATTCCAGGAGGAGCAAACAGTGATGAAAGCCTCAGCTTGGCCATACACTAGATCTCCGAAAACCCCTGAAACTTAGTCATGCTGGTTTAGGGTTTAGAGTTTAGGGTTTAGGGTTTAGGGTTTAGGTTTTAGGGTTTAGGGTTTGGGGTTCAGGGTTCAGGGTTTAGGGTTTAACCTCAGTTGAGTTTTGGGCTTACGCTTTCAGGACAAGAGGTCTGGGTGCCTGCACCCTCCCCCGGCATGCATTGAGGCCCCCTCGCGCTTTCCGACGGCTCCTACTACAGCGACACCGATGAGGCCGAGACCGGGCTTCAGGTCTCAAGGATTTGGGGTTTGGGGTTTGGGGTTTGGGGTTTAGGGTTTAGGGTTTAGGGTTAGGGTTCAGGGTTTAGGGTTTAGGGTTTAGGGTTTAGGGTTTATAGTGTTTATAGGGTTTAGGGTTTATAGGGTTTGGGGTTTAGGGTTTAGGGTTTAGGGTTTAGGGTTTAGGGTCTATAGGGCTACTGGCTTCATGTCCTCCTCTGGTAGAGCTGAGGAGTCAAGGGGCTAACCCTGGGGCGCAAAACGCCCGAACTCTCCCAACTCCGAACCTGGAACTCGAAGCCCTAAACCCGAAACCCTAGCCCTAAACCCTAAACCCTAAACCCTAAACCCTAAACCCTAAACCCTAAACCCTAAACCCTAAACCCTAAACCCTAAACCCTAAACACTAAAACCCTAAACCCTAAACCCTAAACCCTAAACCCTAAACCCTAAACCCTAAACCCTAAACCCTAAACCCTAAACCCTAAACCCTAAACCCCTAAACCCTGAACCCTGAACCCTGAACCCTGAACCCTGAACCCTAAACCAGCAACCGGCATCCCCACAGTCCGAAATGTAACGCTCAGTTTAAGGCCTTGAGAACTCTAAGCCCTTCGCAGCCCTGAAGCCAAAGCCCCGTTGGGCCGTTGGGTTTAGGGTTTAGGGTTTTGGGTTTTGGGTGCCCCCCGAGCCCTACACCCTAAGTCCCAAGCACCCTAAATCTCCAAAAGCCCCTACACCCACTAAGCCCCCTGAATCACAGAAAGCCCTAAAATCCCCCGGAGGCCCGAAGCCCTGAATCCCCAACAAGCCCCTCAATCCTAAACCCGAGCCCTGAACCCTAAACCCTGAACCCTGAACCCTGAACCCTAAACCCTAAACCCTAAACCCTAAACGTCGCTCCCAGGACTCCTTGTCGGCGATGTCGGATGCCCATTGGGGCGATCACTCCGGAGGAGGCTTGGGGCTTGGGGGGTCCCGTACCCCTGGCCCTAAACCCTAATTAAACCCTAAACCCTAAACCCTAAACCCCAAACCCCAAACCCCAAACCCTAAACCCTAAACCCTAAACCTGAAAACCTCATCCCTAGCCCTAAAACCCTAAACCTTAAAAGCAAAAGGTGACGGGCGAAGCCGCGAAGGTCTGTGAGAATGGCCAGGCCGTCGCGATCGCCTGGACGGGAGAGGTGTGGGCTGCCTGGAACGCCTGGCGCGGCGGAGCAGGCCGAGGAGGTGCCCACCGATGACGTGGAGGTGGATCCGCGGTCGTCGGTGAGGCGCAGGCGCACGAGCCAAGATTCACAGATGGGCCGTGAGTCACAAAAGACAGACGCCGGGGACTTTGGACGCCGAGGATCTCCCACGCCCGCGGGCTTGCTCCCGAAGCAGAAGCCCGAGTCACCCTGAGCCCCGAATTTCCAGCTCAGGGCCCGGACCCCCCCCCCCTACCTTGGGATGTTTCCCCGTATACAAACAGTCCTTAGCAGGGATGAGAGTTCCCCCCCCCATCACTATAATCCCTATCAAGGACTGTTCGGATAAGGGGGGGGGGGGGAACATCCCAAGCCGAAGCCCTAAACCCTAAACCCTAAACCCTAAACCCTTAAAAGGCGGCTTCGGTTGAAGCACCCGACTTCCTAGCAGCTCCAAGCCCGGTGGTGGCGGGGCTCCGAGTTTCTGGGTACCCAAAGGCGGCACGAGGCCCGTAGCTTCAACGCTATGCTGTTATAGGGTTTAGGGTTTAGGGTTTAGGGTTTCGAGTTTCGGGTGTAGAGCTGATAGGGTTTCGGGAAACCCCAACCCTAGTTCAAACTCCCTGACCCAAAGCTCTACGCCCTTACCTGCTGATGAGTGGAGCGAACCCCCACCCATGTAACCCTAAACCCTAAACCCTAAACCCTTTTCCTGTTTAAGGACCCCTAACCCCTAGACTCTAACCCCTGAGCCCTTGGGGCTCAGGGCCCGGCTACCCTAAAGCCTGAACCCTATAAACTCTGTAACCACCATAAACCCTATATCCACTTTAACCCCTTGTAGCACACCCTATGAGCCCTACAAGCCCCTACAAACCTTATAAACCCTGTAACCCCTAAACCCTGAACCCTAAACCCTGAATCCTGAACTCTGAACCCTAAACCCTAAAACCCTAACCCTAAACCCTAAACCCCTTGGAGGGGTCATTGCGCCCGAACGACTTTGTGACCCGCGCAGGCGGGCAGACCTGGCCTTCGCGCGGGTGAGCACCCAGGCCTGGGGTTCAGGGTTTAGGGTTTAGGGTTTAGGGTTAGGGTTTAGGGTTTAGGGTTAGGGTGTGTTGAGGGACCCTAAACCATAATGATTCGCAAAGCCCTAAACCCCGAGGCTTCAAGTCCTGAACTGTTTTTTTGACCCTAACCCTAAACCCTAAACCCTAAACCCTAAACCCCAAACCCTAAACCCTAAACCCTAAACCCTAAACCCTAAACCCTAGACCCCAAGCCCTAAACCCCTCAGAACCTCCACGCCCTGGAGCTGAGATTCGGGGCGTCGCTCGCCCCGAAGTATGAGGGCCTGTTTAGGGTTTTAAGGAAACCCTAGAAGCTGAATGAGTATCTATTGGGATACTATAATGCCCCATAGAACTGAAAGTGTACACTTATGAGGTCGGCAACTAACCCTAAACCCGAAACCCTAAACCCTAAACCCTAAACCCTAAGCCCGAAACTCTCACTGCAGGTGGCTGCAGGGACAACGCTCCCCTCCAAGCCCAGACGCCAGCGCGCGAAAAACAGCTGCAAGGGCCATTTGGGGGTTTAGGGTTTAGCATTTAGGGTTTCGGGTTGAGGGCCTAGAGGAGGGTTCCGGAAATACGAAGTCTCCCGAAGCCCTAAAGCCCGAAATCCTCAAACAAAAACATAAAGTTCCACCGGCCCAAAGCATGCCCGGACCAAAACGGCACTTCTCCTCCTTCTTGACATAGGCTTGATTTAGGGCTTAGGGTTTAGGGGGTTAGGGTTTAGGGTTTAGGGTTTAGGGTTTAGGGTTTAGGGTTTAGGGTTTATAAGGTTTAGGGTTTAGGGTTTTGGCGCTGTCTCTTCTTGACATAGAGGCTCGCCTAGGAGGTGCCCATTGACCGCAATTTGTCGACCACTGGTCCCGGCTTGCTTAGCACCGGTGCCGATTGACCACAAATTGGTTCAACACCGGTCCGATTGACCTGGTTCGATGTAATTGGTCCAACATGAACAAGAAATAGAAAGAACAACATCAAAGATAAACAGAACCATAAAAATGTAGAAATCAATACCTAAACATATATATATATGTCTAGGAAAGAGAGGGTTTGAGGTTTACATAGAGGGTTTAGAGGGCTTTGCCTTCGCCCGCGGCTCTCGCGCAGCTTAGCTTGGGGGACATGCGAGCCCCAGGATTCACGCCGTAGGAACCCAAAGCGCGAAACCCTAAACCCCAAACCCTAAACCCCAAAACCCCAAAACCCCAGACCCTAAACCCCACAAGCCCTTAAACTTCAAGCCCGAAACCCTAAACCCTAAACCCTAAACCCTAAACCCTAAACCCTAAGCCCCTCAGACTCTTGAAGGCAAAGCCTGAATGCCGTGAACGCTTAGTATCCCCGAGCTCCCGAGAGCGCCCCCCTAACCTCACGCGCCTAGCGCCTGGCAACCCCAAACCCCAAGCCGGGAATGCAGGGTTTAGGGTTTAGGGGTACCCTAAACCCTAAACCCTAAACCCTAAACCCTAAACCCTAAACCCTAAACCCCAAACCCCGCAAACTCTCTAAAGCCTATAAGCCTAAGCCATAAGCCCTGAACCCTAAAGAACCCCGAAAAACGACGGGGCGCCATGCGGGTCGCACTTTCCGGCGCCCGCGGCCGGGCTGCATTTTGATAAAGGGACTTCAATGGGAACCCCAAAAGCAGGGAATATTCGGGTTTAGGGTTTAGGGCTTAGGGTTTAGGGTTTAGGGTTTAGGGTTGAGGGTTCAGGGATAGAATGGAATAGGAATATACCTACCAGGTACTATGTGCTTGGGGTTCCCTGTTTCTATTTGCTGTGTCGACTGGGAGACTATGAAGTTGTAGATTTGCGGGCACTCTGGGTTTAGGGGTTTAGGGTGACCGCCGACACGTTCAGAGGGTCTAGGGAACCCAAATAAAGCCCGTAAACCCCGAGTAGGGTTTAGGGTTTATAAAGTGTAGAGTACTCTGACTGAATTTGGCACCAGAAACCATACTCAACAGGGTTCTGGGGCACCTCATTCCATACTGGGAACCCTCTAAATCCAGGCGGGCCACAGGAGCAGGACGACTGCTTTACAGACGAGGGCCGGAATCTCTCGATGCGGTTTAGGGTTTAGGGTTTAGGGTTTAGGGTTTAGGGTTTAGGGTTTAGGGTTTAGGGTTTAGGGTTTAGGGTTTAGGGTTTAGGGTTTAGGGTTTAGGGTTGAAAAGAGGGATGCGTAGAACGCATATCTTCTTCAGGATGCTGAGCTTGTGGCCGAGGGCCTCGTCCGCGAGCTCGCCTCAAAACCTAAACCCTGTAAACCCTAAACCCTTCAGACAAGAAACAGCCCCCCCCCCCCCCCCCCAACAAAAAAAAAGGATACCAAAACAAAGAACCTTAAACCCTGAACTCTGTAATATGACTCTATAACCCCTTTACTCGAAGCCCTAAACCCTTCCGACAATTCCTACGAAATGTCAAAGCAAGCCCCAAACCCCCAAAAGAACAACAGAAACCCTTCAAACCCTTCAAACCCTTCAAACCCTTCAAACCCTTCGAACCCTTCGAACCCTTCAAACCCTTCAAACCCTTCAAACCCTTCAAACCCTTCAAACCCTTCAAACCCCAAACCCCAAACCCTAAACCCCAAACCCCAAACCCCAAACCCCAAACCCCAAACCCCTACACCTATCATCCGCTCGACCCCCCCCCCCCCCCCCGAGGCTTGGCCAGGCGCCTTGGTGCGCTGGGGCGGGCGGCTCCCGGGGTGCCCTGGCGTGGCATCCTGACAGTTTAGGGTTTAGGGTTTAGTGTTTAGGGTTTAGGGTTTAGGGTTTAGGTTTTAGGGATTTAGTGCTCAGGGTTCTAGGGTTTAGGGTTTCTGGGGCTCTAGGAGGGTTTAGGGTTCGAGAGTTCTAGGGTTCTAGGGTTCTAAGGTTTAGGGCCTAGGGTCTAGGGTTTAGGGGGTTCTAGGATGAAGGGTCTAGAGTTCTTAGGGTTCTGGGTTCTGGTGTTTAGGGGGTTCTAGGGTTTAGGGTTCTAGGATTTAGGGTGTAGGGGGTTCTAGGGTTCAGGCTTCGTTTTTAGGGTTCGAGAGTTCATGGCCAAAAGCCTTAAAACCCGGTACTCCTTAAGCCCTCGAAACCCTAAACCCTAAACCCTAAACCCTACTCCCTAAACCCTAAACCCTAAACCCTAAACCCTAAACCCTACTCCCTAAACCCTAAACCCTACTCCCTAAAAGCACTCAAAGGGCCCCGTTGAGATCTCCCGTCCTCCCTTGAGGACCTCGGGCCTGCAGAGATTAAGGGGGTTTCGGGTTTAGGGTTTGGGGTTCAGGGTTTAGGGTTTAGGGTTTAGTGTTTTGGGGGTTTAGGGTTTTGGGTTTCTAAGGCGGTCGCCAGAGCTTAAACTCCAAAGCCAAAACCTCGAAACAGCTCATGTTAGGAGATTCCACCGTCCCATGCAGGACTCGGATCGCATGGGTGCCCCAAACCGTGAACAAAAACAGGGAGGGCGCAGCCGTCCACAACCCTAAACCCTAAACCCTAAACCCTCAACCCTCAACCCTCAACCCTAAACCCTAAACCCTAAACCCACAAAAACAGGGAGGGTGCAACAGCACCAGCAGAACCAACACACAGAGGTGCTGCCCGAGCATCAAGCGACCACAGAGGGACGCGTTGCCTCAGCCAGCCCCGCACGACAAGGGCCAACTTCAGTCAGTCAAGCACGACAAGGGCGCGCTCACTGGGCTATGTGCCTGCTGGGGCCTCATTCTGGCTGCGTGAACACATGGCTGGCTCCTCCATCACTGGATTGGGAGGCCTCAACGCCCTCCAACCGAGCCCCCCACTCCGATTGTCTGGCTTGAATATCAAGTTTCTGCGCCTGCAGTCTTGTGTAGGGACCAGTTTAAGTACTGTATATACTGTGGAGCTCCTAAATGGGACCGCCAGGAACTTTGCAGGTATCCAGCCAGTAGCAATATAACCAATAGTGTTCGAAAGTTCACTGGTTCAGGACCTTTGTAAACATGTTCAAGGTGTTCAGTGTTTTGTTCCTGCTATATTCCTGTGGTTCCCTTCTGTTAATAAAACCCTACACCCTAAACCCTAAACCCTAGACCCTAAACCCTAAACCCTAAACCCTAAACCCTAAACCCTAAACCCTAAACCCTAAACCCTAAACCCTAAACCCTAAACCCTAAACCCTAAACCCAAGAACGACGCCATAAGGCCTTAGCAGCCATAGCACCTTCGAACAGGTTCGCGAGTTTCGCAGACAACGCTAAACCCTAAACCCTACTTGGCGGTTCATGGGTATTTATAGGATATAAGCCCTAAACCCTAAACCCTAAACCCTAAACAAGGTCATAACCATAGTTACCATGCTTAAAGCTCCACCAATTGGACCAAAGTCCGCAGTTTCGGGGTGGAGAGCTTTCAGAATCTCACTTCCGGGAAGGCACTGTAAAGTGACTGCAAACCCTAAACCCTAAACCCTAAACTCTAAAACCCGAAGCCGTAAAAGCCCTAAAACCGTAAAACCGTAAAACCCTAAAACCCTAAAACCTCAAAACCCTAAAACCCTAAGAGCCTAAACCCTAATCCCCTGAACCCCTCACTTCTTTGTGGTGCCTTACTGTAACTTTAGATCCTTAGCCTTTGGGGGTTTATTGGGCTTCTTCAGAAGGCAGCCTAAAAAAGTTACTTTAAAAAAAGTTACTTTATAACTACCCTCCCCAGTGCAGCCAAGCCTAACCCTAAACTCTAAAACCGTAAAACCCTAAAACCCTAAAACCCCAAAACCCCAAAACCCCAAAACCCAAAACCCTAAAACCCTAAAACCCTAAAACCCTAAAACCCTAAAACCCCAACCCCCCAAAACCCTAAAACCCCAAAACCCCAAAACCCCCAAACCCCCAAAACCCTAAAACCCTAAACCCCTAAAACCCCAAAACCTCAAAACCCTAAAACCCCCAAACCCCAAAACCCTAAAGCCCTAAAGCCCTAAA